AACCCCACCCAAGGAGGTGAAAGTTGAACAGGACCTGGAAATACAATGGGAAATGCAGGGGAAAGTTCTATTTTATAGCGAGTTTGCTCCATGCCTCCTGTTGGCAGTGGGAAAAAATTGGTATTATATCTGCAAAGCCAGATGTTCACAAACACGGCAGCTTTAAAGAGAATAAGCACTTGTTTAGCTAATAGCAGAGCTGTCAGTCATGAATTTGATGTTGAAAAACATGAGTTTGTTGGGGGAGGGGGAGGGTGTTGGGGTTTTTTCCCTACCCCATAGATATATTTAGCTTTCTAATTCTTTTTCCTTACAGTATTTTTGGTACTTCTGTATCTTTTGTCTCTGCATTCTTTTTACTACTTTCCCTATAAACCCTTCTATGAAAAATCTTCTTTTAGCATTCCATCAGTTTCTCATTTCAGTTCACAATATCAACTTGAAAATATTTACAGAATGCTAAACATTTTTAAATAAAATGTTATAGAAAATTGGAGTGTTTGGTGCTACTGGGCAAGTGTAATGCCAGACAATGCTGCAGTGTCTGATATTGGAAATACATTTCAAGACACATTTGAAAGCTTTTGCTTGTGTTTTAAACTTCTGATGTTTTTTCTTTTTTGCTTTATTCTTTGCTTGCCTTCTCCTTCTTTGTCTGTTTCAGTGTTTCTTTTTCCCCTGTTATGTACTATCCTTTTTATTTCCCATTTCTGTTCTTCTATGATATTGCCTGTCTACCCACAGAAGAATGCCATCTTGTTCTTTCATGTTCTTCTCTTTATTTCATAAAGTCCAGAAATGGTAATAGAATGAGAAACTTCATCTGCAGCAATTAAAAAAAATTAAGAAATTTTTAAACATCCAAACAGAATTAGAGAGGAGAAAAAGGTGCAAAAATGGTGACACAATTTTTTCTTAATGTAACACAAGTACCTTTCATCTTTATATAATAAAATAACTAAATTTTCAGGTAAAGAGTCACTGTATGTTTGTACATACAGCAGATCTTGGGTGTTGCACAAATATATGTTATACAAAGAGGAAATAGTTGAGTGAAAAATTTGTAGTGAAAATATTCCATTCCGTTTTCTTCCCGTTTTTGATGTCTAGAGAAACTCCTTTCTTCCTTGGTACTAACTTTTATAGTTATGTTTCTTAGAGTTCTAGAACAGCTAGATAGTTTTAAGATAGGCCATAATTTAATGTGTTCTTGGTCTGTTGTTTCAGAGATTGACTTCAGTTTTAATTAGTCATACCGATTTCACTAAAAGCACTCGAAATGAATTAAGAGTTCAGTGACACTAAAAGTACATTTTGATGAAATCAAACAAACACAGAAATTGTTTTGTGTATTTAAATTTAACACAAGTAATACTAAATGTGTTGTAGTCAACTATAAATTCTTGTGAAGATTCATAGGTTTCCTTTTCTGTGTTGTTTTTACTGAGCTGTTATTGCTACAGACTGGAAACCTCAACACCATTTTTTTTCTTAAGAGGCTTGTCCAACTGGCAAGCTTTTTTGTTGTTGTCATTTTTGTGTAGGGTTCATAGCAAATTCCACTGAGTATAGCACTGAGATATTGCTAGAGAAGCCTATTAAACTCTTAAATTATTAGATGTGTGTAATTGTGTGTTGTCATGCCTTGCATAAGCTGGAAGAAATAAAAGGAAATAGTGTGCCATCATTAAGGCCAGAAATATAATGAGGATTATTTTAAATTGAGTTGAATGTGACATTAATAATGAAGCTTCAGTTGTGAAGCTGCCTTTAAGTACAAGTATCCATGTAAAAGGTGAAACTGTTGACTAAAAGGATTAACTGATGTTCCTGCTTTTGTCCTCTCAAGCATCTATACGTGATAGACCTCGTAGGATGCTCTCATCCAGACCTTGTCTTAGGCTGGATGAGGTGTATGTTCGAGCTGGTTCTTTTAACCTGTGGCTGTGTCCACAGTGCTACTGACTGCCGTTTTAGGAGTCGGTAGGTGGCATCAAAGACCAGTTCTGGCTCAGGAACACGGTATCTGCAGTGTTTGTCTTTGTACTGCCTGTCAGTGGGTGCTGGACCTCTTACCGCTGACCGCTGTCACCTTGCAGGCTTGGCTATCACCTGCCAGCGTAACCACGGAGCTGCCAAGCTCTCTTGAAGTTTTAAACTGTTTTTTGCGGGCTGCTTGCCATAGTCCTGCAGTTCCAAGCTGGGGAGCTGTGGATCCAGCCCTCGCTGTTCCTGTCTGAACAGGTGAACAGTCTGCGGGGAAACACAGTGAGAAAGTCTGTACAGAACCTATGCTGATATTTTGTGCTGGTGTGCTTTAGATGCGTTTTCATTTGTCCTGCCTGGGTCATGATGTAGGGAAGAGAGGCTTTTCTTTTTCTAGTTCCTCCTTCTCTGAACTCGCAAGTTTCACTGCTGAAAAGGTTCCTAACTCATAAATCACTCTACTAAATTAAATTTCTCATTGGTGCTTCTCTTAGTTTTTAGTGATTCATTTTAGTAAGGAAGCGGGGTGGTTTTAGGGAGGTTTGGTTGGTTGTTGGGTTTTTTTCTTTTCACCCTCTTCCCCATTTGCTACATTTTTGTTCTAAAGGTGTTTATTTTTCATTGAATTTAGATATGTTTTTTAAAAGAATACCTATGTTTCCACAGTTAGAGATTATATGGCAGATGGATACACAACCTCAGTAAAATTTCTGCAGTGTAAATAATTTTCTCGTTAAAATCCTGACTGTTCTGAAATTTAAAAGTCTGTGTTTTAATCCCCAGCTCTGAGGCATTGATTTAAGTACATCAAATCTTCCTTTGTTTCCCCACTGTTCCCTTATGCCTCGAATGGAAAATAGTATTTCCAGCTCATAAGTACTGTTAGTTATATGTTTTATAGTAGTTACTGTCCTTCTAGAACTCAGGTTTAACTGTAGTTCCCAACAAAAGGTCTGTTTTGATGGATGCCAGAGGGAGTTTTGTCTCTTCATATGATCCGGTGTGTTAGTCAAGTGAAGCAGCAGTTTATGAAAGAGGTTGTCTTCTCCTTTTGTGGGAGATGAATAAATTAGAGTTAAGCTGTTTAGTAGAAAAGTACACAGACTACCCAACTACCAAAGTAATGATTTCAAAATATTGTTAGTTGCTGAACAAGGGTCCTTGTAGGTTCTTTTATTTTGATTTCTGTATACTATGGATTGTGTGTATATCAATTCAATTAATTTTTTTCTTTTCTGTTTTTAACATAAACCCAAGAAAGCACCTCTCTGTGCTCTGGATCGGTAGATGGTAGCTTGTATTTAATGAAGAACCAGAAGGAGAAACTGAGGATGACTATGCCAATGACCCTTTCATTTTGTTACATGGCATTACTCTGGTTGAGAGAACCAATGACGTTATCTGATCTCTTAAGGTATGAATAGTCTCTAGTGAAATATTTGTTGCTTTTATAAATAATAAATATTTTAAAAATTAGACCTGTACTATTGCCCTCTTACTAATTTTCTCAGTAATAGTGAGAAGTTCTCTATATTTAGTTGTCTTATCTTTTCTTTGACATAACAATTCGTGCAGCTGCTTTTGGAGAATGTTCTCCTCTATTGATCGAAATGAATCTCAAAGACCTGTAGGGGAGAAGGTTTTGGAGCTAAAGAAGCTTTTTATCCTTCTCCTTCAAAATTTCTTAAGATTCACTGGAGGTGTGTATGGTCACACATTTGCTGTTGTCAGCATGCCAGAATTAAATGAGTAAACATTCTCCAGGACTTGCGTCAGTGTCATCATACAAACAATACCAGCAGTATACAGTGATCTGAAAGGTAGCTAAGTAGCTTCAAGCAATGGAGTTGGGCACAGAAATTCATATAGGAAGTAGTTTTTTGTCTTCGTATCTTTGTATCTGTCATTATCAGAGTTCAGAATAATATAGCTTTTAATATAGTAGAAATAAAATGTTCTAATAATGAGGTTTTATGCTAAATGGAGACCGTCAAACTATTGCTGACAGTGCAGTTCCCTTCTCCTCCCACAACACAGCTATGAACACTTTCCTTATTTACTTAGGGAATGAAAAACAATTCATCAACTTTTTCTGTTAGCAATAAATATTTTAAATCAGGCCCAAGTAGTTTAAATTCAGGAATTCTTAGATTTTCTTTGGAAGACCTTTTGTATACTGATACTCATTTTTAACAAGTGTTGAAATATTGGGTATTTCTAAAAAGATGATGAAAAAAAGTTACTTTGCCAAAATGTAAGGAACAGAAAGACTCAAGTACATTGAAAAATGAAATTGAAAACTCCGACCAAATAAAGGAAAAACTGTAGAAAATATGGTAGATTTCAAATATATTTTTCAAATATATAACGTGTAAGCTAAAAGGCAAGGCAATGAGTACATCATCCCTCACCTGTGGTGTGTGTAACTAGTACTGCTGCTGAAAGTGTGACAAACGCAAAGAAGTTTACCCCAGAGCCTGATGGCCTCTCTCCCCTGGAGTGCCAACTTCAACCTGCACTTTTCTAGCTTTGTACAAGCTTTCTGAGAAGGATGGGTATTGAAGAATGTTCTTTTTCAAGTACTTCTTAAAAAGGGGAGGTTTGTATGTCTCAAAGTGCAGTAGTTAATACTAGCTAATTTATTTCTATGCACAACAATGTTTAACCCTTTGATTTAACATTAGGGGGTGGCTGTTGCCTTCATTGATTAGAATTGCACAAACCATTGCATATTTGCATGACTAGATATGCTGTTGCATAAATGATGCTTGCAAAATGTTCAGCAAAATGCCACAGTATTCAGAATTAAAACTAGCATCCTGCAATACAGAAGTATTTATTGAGTAGATCAAGAAATAGTAGAACTCAAAAGTAGTTTTCAATAACAAGATTTATTACTGACTACTGTCTTCCCAAGGAAATTCTGTAGGAGTCAGAACTACCGTAGTATACTCTGAATTTCTGTCAATTGTTAGAAGATAAATATATAAATCCTATCTGATAATGTTTGTACATCCAAGTAGTAAATTACGATTACTGGGACAGAGCAAATGGTTCACAGTAAAGAATTATTGTTTAGCCCATCCTATTTGGAGAGAAAACTGAATAATTAAATATCTGTTCTTTGGTTACTGTATCTTGGAAACTGTCTCTGGAAAGCATATGCGGTCATACGAGGCAAATACATCCTCACAAGTTCCTATCTGAGTATGATGGTGTGGTTTGAAAAAAGACAACCAAACAACAACAACAACAAACCCCAACTGTCAAAGTCAGCTGTTAAGAGGAAAGGTAATTGTGCTGTTTGCATATTAATAGTATATTGTTGTATTTGGCACTTTAAAAATTGGGGACTGCAGAAGAGATCCATGAAGATGATCCAGAACTTGGAGAACATCCTTCGTACTGAGATCCTTAAGAGCTGCACGCATTTGCTTGAGAGGATTTAGAGGAAACATGAAAACAGTAAAAAAAAAGCTGGAAAAGGAGAGGAAAAAAAAATCAAGTACCAAATATAGCACAGAAGAGGCATAATCAGAAACTAATTGAAATAAGATTATTTGAATGAGAAAATATCATGTAATTAGATACAATTTATGGGTTTAATACATTAAAAGTGGATAAATTGGAATGATTCAGTGACTTTAAATGCAGTAAACATATGAACTGAATTAAATGCAGAAAGCGATGTTTAAAAGTGTCATTTGTATTGCAAAGTTTTACATGATACGATAGTTATATAAGGCCATAATTACATTATCATGCTTCCCTCCCTACACTTAAGGTCTTTGCCTTTCACAAGTTTGATGAAGAAGGGAAAATAATTTTAAATTGCATGAACTACCATAAACCACTTGTTTTCTAACTTCTGAATATTTAAGTTTAAAAAATCAGACAATGTTCACATTTTTGCATGCATTAAGATACACAGATCAAAATAGTGACAGACCAGAGATGAAAACTATGCAGAGAAAACATTAAGTATTCAGCATTACCTTTTAAATCCTTATAGGCAAATTGTTTTATTTAAACCAGCTGAATTACAGTTGTGCTTGAAGTTCGGCCTTGTTTTTTCCTCAGTTTGGTTTTCTCCCTACCCTGAAGTCAGCTGACTACCACTCCTCTCTTATGATACATGCTTAGGCACCATGGTAGGGCAATCTGCCAGCTTTTAAAGGATTTACAACACCAAAAATATACTCCTCCTTGCTACTTGACATACTTAGCAGAAAAACACTACAATTACCTCCTCTGACAGGGACTTTTTGGTTTAAATATAACATTTTTAACAACCTTCTACTCAAGTCTATGCAACACATTGAATCCTTTTCCATTGTGAATAATCTCACAAAACTCTATATGCTGTATATTATTTATCTAAATAATGAATAGAATTGTGGGCTTGTGGAAAAAGTTTCAAGATGCTAGACTCTGAGATTGTGAGAACTAAAGCCTTTCAAATAAGGTTATACCTAGCTGTGCTGGCAAGACCAAACTTGTAATCAGTTTGTGGCATTACTGTGTGGCTTTAACAGATGCATCATTTCCTCGTAGTATGCAGAGCACCTAGGATTTTTTTCATACTTGGACCTTACTAATGTATCCTGCTGCTGTAATTAAAAGAACATGGACTGTGTACTGTATCTGCCAGTTGAGTTTTCAAGCACTTCACTGATACAATGTAGTCTTAGAAGTGTTTTGGTCGTCTGCTTGCCAAATGAAAGGTTTGGAAGAACAGCAGACAGAAGAAACTGTTCTGAAGTGCTATTCCAAATCTGGGCTTTTGGAGTAAGCGTTAAAAACTTGAATCATTAGCACATTGTATTCATAACAGGGTATTTATGCTGTTTCATGCATTTTTAAAATGTAAAAACAACTCTTAACCTGAGAGAGAAGAGCATTCTTTAGTATGGAGAATAGTGATTTTAAGCTAGGAAAGATGGCGTTATTTTTTTGAACAGTTGCAATGCTTTGACTTGGTACAGCCAAGTTAGTGAAAACTTCCTTTCTTTTTTATAAAGCCATTTTGATGGACATTGCTTGTCTCTTGCAGTGTAAGGATGTAGTTCCAGCATCAGTTTAAGCTGATACAAGTTTCTGTTGCTGTGGTCCTGCATGAACATTCCTGCCCTTTCTCTTGCCCTGGTTACTAGCATTCATCCAGTTTATGGTGTATTAGTTGAAAGAAGTAGATCTGCAAGAAACTAATTTTGCAAAAGAAAACTTCACTGGACATTTTAGCGTAGGTTTATTTGCTTCACCACAGTCCCTTTCTGGCTTGTGCTGGCAATAATGTTCCTGCAGTCAGCCAAGTCTGGAAATCTGTCTGGTTGAAATCAAACCCTGGAAAACAAAAGACTAGTTCTCAATCTAATCCTTTGTCTGAGAAGTCACACAAGTGCTTTTGTCAGCAGGGAGGAGTGTGTGGCAGAGGACTGAAGGGAGGGTGGGATTTCCCATTTCAGAGGCAGCAAGCTGTTAAGGTGGTTTGGCTGCAATCAGCACTACACCACACCCGAAGGAAGGTCCCGATTGCTTGTCCTCTTCCAGCTGCTGCTGTGCTGGCTCAGGAGGTTGCTGCTCTTGGTGTCTTGGTACCAGCTTTTCAGATCTGACTGCCAATCGTGTGATTGTGCCTTAACACGTGTCAGCCAAAGCTTATCATCAGCTGAGCCAGTAATGGGTCACTTTTGCTGAAGGAGGAAGGTCTTGCTTCCCTTTCTTCTCTCCTCCAGCCTGTGTGATGCATCCCCTTCCCTCTGCCAACTCTTGCACTTGTTGGAGCCATCTGTGAGCCTCCTCAGTTTGTTAGATGATGGGAAAAGAAACCCTTCTTTCTGGCAATAGGGTAACAGGTAGTCTTTTGTGGAAGAGGATGATAAGCAGCAGGAGCACACAGCCAGACCAGGAGGAGGGAAGGATGACTAGTTATGTTGAGCTTTCAGGTTGGCTCAATCCATTTTGTGAAACCATCTCTCAAGTTTAAGTTTTTCAATTTAGTGCAGCTGACCTTGACTAAAATGGGCTTAATGAGCTGTTGTGCAAGCTGCTCAGCTGCTCAGGCAGGATGGCAAGGACAAGCAATGAGTGCTGGGTTTGGATGATAATCTCACTGTGCATGTGGACCAGTGGACATCTCTACTCAGGGTGGGGAAATACTATTTACACTGGTTGAGGAAAGCTACTGAAATTTCCTTAGCAAAATGTACATCACACAATTTAATTAGAAAGGATTGTGCAGCGACTTTTACCTCTTCACTTAAGAGACTAATATGCAGAGCTTCAGAACAAAAAGTGTTGGGCAATGTGTTCTTTCAGATTGCTGTTATTTTTCAGAAATCATTATAAAATGATGAGTTAATTCTAACTGAGAGGGAGTTTTGATTAAGAAATGCATTTATCATTTTAATACCCATTTGAATTCAATTTTTTTAATTAAACTGAAAATTCAGTTAATGTTTTAAAAAAAATTAGGATGTCACTGTAAACTTTGCAGTAACTAGCCTTTAAATAGAATTTTAGTCAACTTCAACAGATATACACTACATAACATTCAATAAGTGGTGATTAGGGCACTGGACTGGGAGAGGGAAGGTGAGCTTGTGAATTGCTATAGGCTCGGGAGGGAGGTGAATCCTCCTCAACAATGGCTGCTCTGTCTATGAAGACATTGTTCTGCCTTGGTTTTGTTCTTTTTTTTTCTTTCCTCCAGACGCATTTTGAATGAAAGTGGCAGATTGCTGTGCTTTATGAGGAACTCAGTGTTTCAGCTTGTGGGATTGGATCCAACTAAGCGATCAAAGTGTTTTAGGTACTGCCCGCATTGAGAGCAGATGCAGAGCTCAGCCTTACAACCACTGGAGGAACCCGGGAGGGACTTGCAGAGTCATAGACCCGGAAGTTACTAATCTGTGTAGCAAGATCAGAAAGATACTGTGCAGATAACACAGCTGGCAGAAGAGAAAATTGTTTTCAAATCTCTAATATTGTTTAAAGAACAGGGTCTTCTCTGTTTGGAATATTAACTAATTCAAGTTTAATGTACTCTAACAAAATTGTTTTGGAGAACAGGAGACGGGAAGGCAGTTCTAGCTTAGTCCTATGGGAGACCACTAATATGCATTAATTTGGAATGAGAGTAGTGTCTGTTCCCTTGTGAGGATCCATGCTTGTTCAGTGCTTGCTTTGCCTGGTGTGAATGTCAGCTAAGATGCTAGATAAGAGCAGGGGTTTGGTGTGGTGGTGGCTTCTTATTGGTATCTGTTGTTGAGTTCCATCTTATATATATATATATATATATAAGAAAAAAACAAAAAAAATCCCAAATAATGCTGTCAACCACTTACCAAAGCCAGTTTTTAATAAAAAATGCATTATTTGGGTGCAAATAAAAGAAAAAAAATATTTTGTATTTATTAGTATACAAAATAATTTCTATTCATACCCAAATAATACTTTAAAAAAATATAGACTTAATGGGGTTTCAGTTATGTGTATCTGCTTATCATTCTGTGACTTTCCTCCCTACATTACCTGACTCAAACTCCTCCTGCAGACAGTGTGTGTTTTAAAAGTAAAATTTACTTAAAGCTTTAGAATTAAAAAAATTCCCATACCATTCGAAGGAGGCTTAAAGCAGTTTCAGAAATGCAGTAGCTGAAGAATGTGCAGAACAAACTCCATGTAAGTGTGTTGATTGCAAGCTTACTGCCATAATATTATAATTTGTCAGTCATATCTGTGCTTGAACTTAAAGGCCTGTTAAATGATTGAACTGGTTTTTGTCCTATGGAGCATTTAGGGTTGTGTAACTTCAGATAGAATTGCTTAGGCAGTATAATACTGATGTTATTTCTAATCAGAAGTTGATCTGTATATTAATTTTAGAATAAACATATGCATTTGACATACTAAATACTATTTGATTTGGTCTTTGTTTTTCTTTATGCAGGTTTGTTGTTGAAGGTCATGTTCCATATTTGAATGTTTTTCAGCATTTTCCAGAGAAGATGAAATTATGTGGACTTGACCTTAAGATCTTTTGTGTAGAGGTAATTTTTTTCTTAAAGGGAAAGATTAAAAAAACCCGACCAAAACCTAGTAATCTTGTGGCTTTTTAATTTCTTTGGTCACTGTACTAATAAGTTGATTAAATCTATTCTTATATTGTAGGTTCATGTTTTGCGTTATTGGAGCCTGTGCAGAAAACAGTGCACTCCGTGACTCGGAGTGCTTTAATCTTTAACCAGTCTTATTAAGCTGATTACCTAGGTTAAAACGAAATCAATAAGTACTTGTGGAGAAAAAGTTATTCAGAACTGTTCTTGGAACACTCAGAAATAGGATTTGGCTTCATGTCTAAGGGCAATATATTATCCTTTTTGGTGCTTATTTAAAACATCTCTTGAATTTTTTCGTAATTCCAGATTCTATTCATAAAATATGGTTTAGATGCTATCTCTTGTTCTCTTTCTTGCTGTACTGGTTGAAATATATCAAACCTAAAATCTACATAAGGGGTTATGGCCCTTCTAGAAGCTGCATAGTGATGGACAGTCTTGAGTAAAATGTAAATTTCCCATATTTAAGGTTATTATGTATTGTGCTAACGATTGCCCACAGGTGTTTTTGTTGCAGAAAATAAGTTTATAATGGATTTTTGAAGCGTGCAAATAAAATCTTAGCTTTTAAGAGCACATAGCAGTAATTCTGCTCACAGGAAAAGCTAGGTTTTGGTCTGCTGTAAGATGTTTGTAGCCCAAGCCCTCAGTGGTGATGATGCAAGTAATGTTACCGTTCTCCAATATGTAGCTTATATTCAGCAGGTCCTGAGTTCTTCAGAAGCTAATCTGTAGCCTTTTTTTTTTTTTTTTTTTTTTTAACCCCTGCTTTCCTGTCTGCATAAATAATAACTATGACCTCAACTTTTAAAATCAGGAGATAAATTTAATACAAGACCTCTTGATTTCTTTTTTTGGCCTTAGATCTTTCCTTAATAGGAAAGATACATTAGGTTGAAATGTGTGTGTGAACTTTTTTTTTTTTTTTAAAACTCTTTTAATTCTCAGTGTCTCTGTCCTTCTTTGCCTCCATCTTTTGGAGTTGTTTTTGTCTCTCAAAAATGGTTACACAGAACTTCTATTCTGGACTGACTAAATAAAATAATGCCCCCTCTCCCAATCCTACAAATCGCACAGGTAAAATTCTCGTATGAATTGCAGCTGTGAAATTTGTACCATGCCTCAGAGTGGGAGATCTGGTTTGCAGAGAGGAGATGACAGTTGGCCTTGGAGGATCCTGCTGCTTTCTTTTGGGATAGAGCTGTTCCTGGCATGCAGGATGATCTGATGCCAATCCTGAAAGTGATTCCATCAGTCCCTATTAGCTTACTTTCTCCCAGAGCTGTCAGTTTGGATTATTCTACTGTCCCTCCATAAGCACACTTCCAGTATGGATTGTAGCATGTCCTGGTGTGGGAGCGGGACTTAACAATTTTGAAAGGCACAATCTGGTCGATATAATCTTGTTCCACTTTTATATAGATAAGGAAGTCTAGCCACTTCACCCTCTGTCTTAAACACTTATATAGCATATATGCATTTTCCTTTTTTTACAAACTGGGGAAAAAAAAACAAATCCAATTTTTTTTGTCTTAATATTGCTTATGATGACTCTGTATCTAGTGTGGTCTGCTATTTAGTTTACAGGAAAATGCAGATCTAAAAGCTGAATTTGTTTAACTTTTGACTTCTATCTTGCTTGTCTGTGATACTGACACCTGCACCCCTCACTTCCAAAGTGTAAGTAGATATACATACTAATCAAGTCATCTCTTAACTTTGTTTTCATTGAGGTACATAGGTAAAGTTCTGTAAGCTTACTGTACAGTTTGTTTTCCATCCACTCCAGTATTCTTGTGATTTCCTCTTTCTAGGAATATCTGCTCCCTACTCTACCTTCAATGTTCCTTTAGTAATGCATCCTCAGGTTTATTTAGTATTAACATTTTTGGCTACATCATTGGGCTGATAATTGCAAAAACCTTACTAGCAGTTTCCTGCATCTTATGTTTCAGAACTGATCTTGCTGCTCATTGCAGCACTGAGATTACCAATAGCTTGCTGTATCTAGTGTTGACATCTGAGTTTTGAGAAATTCAAGATGAGGTTATTGTCTTGGAGCAGAAAGTCAGATTGTGTAATACTCCATCCTGAAAATACAGCCTTCGTTCTTTTCTCCTTGCTGTTCTGTATATAATATTCCATAGACAATTATCTTCAAAACCTTTATGGGATTATGACTGTTAATAACCAGGCAGGTCAGATGCTCTAATGCCATTATTTGTTGTGCTTCAAGTCTGGTGAACGTAAGCTGCAAACATGTTAAAAAATCTTGATAACTGACAGGACTATTCAATATGTCTCTTTTTTATTTTGAACAGATATTTAGCGCATTTAATTGTGTCCTGTGCTAATTCCTTGCAGCCCAAATTTGAATCAAGAAGTAGTTATGTCACAGTAGCTTGAGGGATTTGAAGTCATACTAAGTATCATTTTATCAATTAAGTACAGAGGAAGCCTAACTGGATAAGGCTTATCTTATATAAAAACATTCTCAGTGGCTTAAAGTTTTGGGTTTTTTCAGTAACAATTTCCCAGATACCCAAAATATACTGAATTTGTACAAGGTTGAAGTTGTTATAGCTTTAGAAAAAAATAAATGCAACAATTATTACAACGTGAGTCACATCTTCTTTCTCTCTTTCTATGTAGTGGTGTGTGTATGTGTACATGCACAATTTTTTTTTTTTTATGCCTTGTCATTTAGTAGTAACATTTCGTATGCAAGGAATGTGACTAGTCTCAGGCTTTCCAGCTGATGAACCTCTGTGCTGTGTAATACAGGAATGGAGTCCATATCACTGACAAATTTTCCCTGTTCTGCATACAGTTTAGCAATTAGAGCTGACTGCAGCATCTATCATACAAGGAGAGGCTGAGAGAGCTGGGATTTTTATCACTGAGAAGAGAAGGCTGAGGGGAGATTTCAGTAATGTGTATAAACACCTGACAGGAAGAAGTGGAGATGGAGTCAGGCTCTCTTCTTGGTGGTGCGCGGTGGAAGGACAGGAGTCAACGGGCATGAACTGAAATACGGGAAATTCCATTTAAACATAATTTTTTTTTACCGTAAGAGTGATTGAATGCTGGAACAGGTGGCCCTGAACCACTGTGGAGTCCGCATCTTTGGAGATGCAAAAAACCTGACTGGACGCAATCCTGAGCAACTTGGTGTAGTTGACCCTCCTTTGAGCAGAGGCGTTGGACTCTGTGATCTCCAGAGGGCCCTTCCAACCTCAAGTTATGCTATGATTCAAATGGTATAGTATGCCTTGTATTCTGTTTTGTATTTTCAGTGTAGGTGGCAGATAAGTCCTTCATATTTTAGTAATGGAACAGCTAATAAGAAGGGCATAGTTCTTCATTCTGCCCAAACTGAACTTTATTTAAAATACCTGCCACAAAGGTTATTGTATCTGGACACCTGTGTCCAGAAGTCTGGGAGCTCTGGGCGTGACTGCCTCATAAATAAAGAGAAAAGGAGCTTCCACTTCTCCGTGTCATCTTTATCACGATGCATAACTGTTAGACACGTGTCAGGTCCTATTTGGAGATAAGTACTACCTCACAAATATTTTATGAAGGAGAAAAGTACTTTATAAAGAAGATCTTTGCATAAAATGAGTTGTTTATCTTCCATATGTGTTTATCTTTCCATTGCTCCAAGTCTCTTTAATAAGCCTTCACTTGATTAGTCATTCTATTTATCCCTTCCTCTTTTAGTCATGTGTGTGTTAGAAGTTAGCCTTTGGTAAATGGGTTTTACCTAAATGCACAATCAGAGGACTCACAGGGCAAACAGCAGCTGTAGCAGGATGCTTCTGCTTAGTTGTTAGTTCAGAAGTTCTAAGTTCCCAATACAAGAGAAGAAAAGCAAGTTTTCATCTTACTCTGCAAAATCTCCTTTTTCTAAACCAAGTATTCTTACTCCATCTGATTAAAACCTTTTTTTATGCATCAAAAAAAGAGTAAGATACTAAAGTTTTGGGTTTTGTTCTATGCAGGAGATGAAGGGTTTTTTCTTGCTATTTGCAATTTGTGTAACTACAGTAAATCCCTGCTGATCTTGAGGCTTGTGCCAGTAGCCAATACATCTTTGATGAGCGCAGTCATCTTTTCTTTTAGGTGGAAGTCATCTTTGTTTCCTTCTGAATGCACAGGATGTCTATTTCTTTGAAAGCCCACTAGTATAGGAGTTAAAATGAATTTGTAAATTAGTAGTAGTATATATAAAGTTCCATGGCTAATTTGCTTTCAGCTTGTTTTCTTTTTATTGATAGTATCTGTCCTGCAGTGGAGCTACACGCAAATTCCCTCTTCCATTTCTGCTTGAAGTAGGGATACATCCTGAAGATACGCATCCTCTATTTTGTTTTCAGGGATTTATCTTTATCCTCATACAAAATTGATTAAAGCATCCCTTTTCTCTTGAGGTAGCAACAACTTGTCCTTGCCTTAGATCTGCTTTTTCTTACGTTTTTGACTCGGGACTGTACACCTGATTTTTATGTAATTATTTTGTTTGTGCTTTAAAGTTGGTTCTGCTTTGCTGTCTCAAGTTTACCTTTAGCTTTCATTACTTTTTAGAAAACTTATTACTTTTTGGCATATTTTACCCTTAATGCATTGTAGGTTGATTTTTTTTTTTAATGTCCAAAAATAATTTTTGGTTTTGGTTCTCAAGTTCTTAACATGCACACATGTGAACTTAAATGTACGTGTATATATAGGTAAGCACGTCACTCCCATGGCTGTTGGGCAACATGATTTACTAAAGCATTGAAGATAACAAACACGTCACTTTGGAGTATGTGCTGTGTGAAACAGGATAGGTGAGTCTCATAAATATCTTTCAGATCCTGTTGTTCTGAAGAGCTTTGGGAATGGTCATCTTTTTAGATGCACAAGTTTCTGAACTTGGCAAGGAGGCC